TATGCTATTGCTTTTATTTAAATGATGTCTCTAGACTGTAGGAAAAAGCCCTGTTCTTTCTCATAGCACAGTACATGTAGTACTCAGATGAACATCTGATACTTGTTAAGGGCAGAAAATAATTCAAGGCCCAGCTATTCTGTGACACTTATTCCTTAGGGGTACAAACAATGACTGCTGCCAAAGATCATTGTTGACTCTCCAGCACAATTGAGTTCTTGTGATATCACAGACTGACAGGTGACATGGTGGATCCCCACCAGGACTCTGCCCTTACTAATTTCCTCCTCTAGGTCAGAAAATCTCCAACATGAGCTGAAACAATCCACAGCTCAGGACGAGAGCCTCCTGCCAACAGAGCTGCTGCAGCAGGAGCACCAAGTGTCATAAACAAGTGAGCCACCATGACATCCCATTCCCAGCAACATGGCATTTGTGGGGTGGAGGTTCTTCCTTGATTCTGGTTTCCTATGTGTGAATAGGCCCTGAATTTGTCTACCCAGTGACCCAGCAAGGCTGTTTTAGGATCTGATTGCCTATTCTTCTCTCACAGCACCCTTTATGAGAACTGAGAAGGCTGAAGGAATCCATAGGCAACCAGAACCCCTGACATTCTCTACTCTATGATCAAGGCCTCCTCAGAACAAGACATGTACTACTAGTTGTGAAATCACCAGTGAGGCAAATATCATCTGCCCTGCAGGTCGTCCATCCATAATCTGATCCATGTGTCTGTTGACTCACTACTTATGGAATTAAGAAACCATCGAGAAGATACTTGAGATTCAAAAAAATTAACACCAAGAATTATGCGGAAAAAGCTGACATCTACCAGCAAGTGTTCCCAGTGAGGGCCACAACAACATGGACAAAGAGTATGATTCTGCTCATAGTTACTCTGAAAGTTTATTGCTACAAATTTTTGTTAGCTGACTGAGTCTTCAGCCCTTCATATGTGGAGGGAGATATGTCAACAGAGACTGTGTTGATGTCATGCTGCTATCCAGACAGACGACACAAAGGAAGTATCATATTCTCACTCCAGTCCAGTGCTGGACCTACTCAATGTCATGCACATGTGATGGTGAAGTGAATTGTTATGAGAGATGATTTAGGAAGGATGCCACCATGAGCTTTTATGTCTTTGGGCAGCAAATGCTCCCCATGTCCTTTTTTGCTCTTGAATGGGCACATAGACACATGTTGGCTGACAGAATCATATAGTGGCCAACATAGCATAAGATCAACTTTGGCAACGGCCTAACCTAAGAGCCCCAAAGTGGCATGACTACACTTGTCTTGAAGAGGGTATTTCAATTCAGGGTTGTCTTCCAACTTGTGTCCAAAGCCAGCCACAGGGTGTAGGACAGTGCACTAAATCTGCACGATGAGAATGCTTCTTAGTGTAAATAGTTTTGGTTTGTTTGGGGGTTTGCATGAATTTAGGTTTTGTTGTTCTTTGTTTTGTTTTGCTGTTTTTTAATTTTTTGGTTCTTTGTTCTTTCTTTGATTTTATATTTGGCTAAGGCTATACACTGGATATACTAAGTGCCCTTTTAAGCCCCTATTCAGTCAAATTTCTGTAATTTCACAAATAAAAAAAGTAACTTCCAACTCTTCATTCTTTCCTTTAAATTTTTTATTGAAGTTACTTACCATCCATAGATCCACCTCCCATTGCTCCTCCCTCTCCCTTCCACCTTCCCCTCCACCCCTCTATCCCTCCTCCAACAGCGTAAGTTCTCCCACGAGGGACAGCTAAGCCTGTACATTCTCTTCATTCTGAAAGTAGCTTTTGTGGTCAGGTGTGGTGTCATACTCCTGTAACCTTAGAACTCAACAGGCAGAGATGGATCTCTGCAAGTTCTAGAAGCCTTAGTCTACATTGTGAGTTCCCAGCCAGACAGGGTTACAAGCCAAGATGGTATCTTGGGTATGAATCGCATGGCCTACTCCATGAATATCTACTTCATGATGGAAAAAGATCCATGTTAAACACCTGACTTCACATGTCTAGCTACTCTAAAAAATGGAGAATCGATACACACATGTTCATGACATGATCATTCATATCAGATTTTTCAGAAATACACCTATGTTTTCTAATGCATCTCAGGAAGTGAGAACATTTGTTACAGGAGTATAGAAGAAATGAGGAAACCTATAGCGTCTGCCTTTCTTTTCCTGAAATACAACACCAGTGACAGTGG